ATTTTATTTCATATTTTACTTTTTCGATTTATTATATAACTAAAAGTACGTTTTGATAAGTGGATATTAAATATTTGTAATGTTCGCAAATAAATTTATTTATACTTGATTTTAGAATACATCCGTAGTAAATTAATAATGTAATAATTATATCACGATTTGCTATCACTAAAATACACCTAGTTTGAAAAGTGACTGTATAAAATAACAACTGGATAAAACATGTTCTTGAAACCAACATGGTTTTATTTGATACACTCACAAATATTTAAGGAGGTAGTTCACCGTCATCTGAAAAAACCCGCTTTTTTAGTACTAAATAGCACTGGTGTGGACCTAACAACGTTCAAAAATGGATTTGCCTACATGCGAGATTAGTAACCTACAAAGTTAAGCACTGCAGGTTAAGATTTCTACATTCAGATGACTTGAATTTAGAAAATCAAATAGCCTCAATACTTTTGCTGTTATGTATGCGATACTGAATATACAGGGTGTCCCGGAACTCTCTACCAATATTATAGGTCATTGCTCCTGGGTAAGAAACGTACCTAAATATCATATAAAATTGTCCGGAAGTCCTTAGTTACTCACACAGCCGCCATTTTGTTTTTTTTTCAGTTATTAATTCTTTTCTAAAGAATGGTTAAACATACGAAATGGAAACTTTGCACAAACATTTATGACAACTAGACAAAGCTACAAAAAAATTATGAAGATTTTTCAAATTCATAAAACAAAATGGCGTTCATTTAAAATTTTCTTTCTTAAATAACTCAAAAACCATTGATTTTACAAAAATTTTTAATGGCCGCCATTTTGTTTTATGAATTTGAAAAATCGTGATAATTTTTTTGTAGCTTTGTCTAGTTGTCATAAATGTTTGTGCAAAGTTTCCATTTCGTATGTTTAACCATTCTTTACAAAAAAAATAGTAACTGAAAAAACAAAATGGCGGCTGTGTGAGTAACTAAGGACTTCCGGACAGTTTAAATATGATATTTAGTTATGTTTCTTACCCAGGAGCAATGCCCTAAAATATTGGTAGAGATCCGGGACACCCTGTAGATTTGATGAGAGGATTTGAAATGTCGAATGATTTATCGATCAATCTGTTGCAGTTAGCGGGGTTTACAGGTGCAACAAATCCCACAGAAAATCGTCATTTATCATTACAACACTAATCCCTTGACGGGTAATGTGAGTTTGACTGTGTTGCAGATGTAAGCAAGTACATGTATGTCTGTATCCACTGTGTTCTAATGAAGTGTACTCGATGTGAGCATAATGTTTTATTGCTTTTAGAAGTTTCTTAAAAGTCACCCTGTGAATGATTGTAATAAAACGTGATTCCTAGAGGAGAAAAGATGCATACGCTCATTTACTAATGCAAATTTATGTTTTATATGTATTTCATCATTGTTGAAACACAACTCGCTCATATGATACTGTACTTACTAGTTAAATGTAATGCATAAATTAAATTCAATATAGTCAAGAGAACAGTTGATTATAAACAATTAATTGGTTTACCACCTGTAAAATAGGCTCAGCTCTTCTAAAAATATACCTTTTATACCGATTAAAGGTATACAACGGCTATGTTTTAGAAACAATATTTTAATGTTGTGATTTTTAATACTTGTGAGCAGCGTACTCTTATCTGTATAAATTAAAAATGGATGTTTATCATTACATAAATACATTCCTTTTCCGAATAAAAACTATGTTGGTGTTCCTTGTTTAACTTTTATCAAAACATTATTAAAATTGTTCAAATAGTTTGTCTCAAATTGTTATAGGTGTTCAATATATGGGATTTGGATTCTGAGCACTTTTGTTTGCGTGTGTGTTAATGAGTGTTATTAGTTAGTTATGTTTATAAACGATAACATTAACAATCTTTATTAAAATATTTCATCAGTTAAGAGGGTTCCGTAAAAAACACACAATGACATCACACTTAATATTCAGTCACACCAATGACATAATGCTTTTAAAGTAGTTTAGAATGTGAAAAACCTTTTTGTATCTTTTGGTGGTGTGTAATATAAGTTTACATAGTAATGGTTTGACCCGTTCCCATGACTCGTATTCTGGTTACCGCATTACCCACAGTTTGGGTCTAAGGAATGCAATCAACGTGCTGAGTGATTTATAATGATTGTTGCTGGTTTTCATTGACCGGAATAAAACTACAACAGTGAATTTGAAAATAACATTCATTATAATGAACTTTCAAATTTGGTACAGTATGCAAATTATTGTAGTTTAAGATTTCTCAAGAAATCTTTATTCACAAAACCCGTTTAAAGAATCAACTCAATTAAACCCGTGCCAACTTAATTTCCCACCCTTAAGCATCTTTTTTTCATCACTGCCCTTGTAGCCGGTGGGGATTGAAGCTAGTGGACTTGTGAAGTTTAATGATGAAGTGGAACGGGGGGGGGGGGGGTTAGGTTAGTGGTGTGATATGGTGTGGGTTATCGGTGGGAATTCGGGGAATCAGGAGGGAATAAACAGGGTAATGCTAATAGGGTAGGTATAAAAAATATAGCGTGCCGCTATGCGTCACGCCTTTTTTCACATTTTATTTTTGTTTTCCTCTAAATGTACATTTTTAATTTTTTAGGTAGAAATTTAACACTTTATTTTCAGAAATACTGTAATAATTATAATCACAAACTACGAAAAACGTGACGGTGTATTACGTTTACTTTATGTAATTTCCAAAATATATTTTTACTAAATACTTTTTACTTTTGTCTGTTGTAATACACAATAGTCAGCATAATCAATGGAAACAACCAACTGTCAATACAAGTCTTAAACACGCTTATTAGGGTGATATTAATCAATCAGGCGCTGTCAGAACTGTTGTAACTGACTCTCTCAGCTTTCAACTTTCAGACATTGGGCTTTATGGCATTCAACTGCAACTGGAGTTATTAAAATGAATCATCCACATCGTAATTCAAATACAAACTTTTCAACTATCATGAAACTGATACCGACAATATGTATGAAAAATTATAACTGTTATTTGTTTAAAATACATTTTGGTTAAAACAAGTTTAATGAATAGGCCTATCTTAAATTAACCGAACACAACTTGCATCTAAAAAAGAGGGGTAAGTTAGCGGCCATTTACTTTTTTATTGTTTTATTTGTCTTTTACTTCATTTGTAATTTAAACACATTGATTTTGAAAATTCCTTAGTATAATCTAGACTGATCAATTATAAGAACTAATAATAATGGTTTAAATACCTGATTTTGGCTATCCAATCGTTGTATTCACAACTAGTTTCGATCTGCTTAAAGTTGGATCATCATCAGGTGAGTACCAGTATACTTCAGGATGCTTGAAATTGGACTCAATTCCCGCATTAATAACACCAATGCTCGTTGTTTATGATTTTATTTTATCGGCATATGTGTGTCCGTGTATGTGTATGTGTAAAAAATGAATTATGACGACATCCATGTGAAATAAGCATCCTTGTACTCACCTGATGATGATCTCTTAGCAGATCGAAAATAGTTGTGAACATAGCAATTGCATTGCTAGAATCAGGTATTTAAACCATTACTATTATTCTACGTAATCTGGAAGCTATCCATACTACAATGAAATTATAAGAAGTCAATGCCACACTACCATGTGCATAACTCACCATACTCTAGCAACAACCTCGTATAAAAACTGCAAATTGTGTGTTATTTTTCAAATTTTCTTTTGAATTTGTTATGATACAGCAAAAATTTAGAGTGCATTTGTGAAAAGCGCTACATAGCGAATAACCAGCTGTGTTACATAACATTAACATTACAGTTGTGTCAAACACGTTTGTGACTCATTACTGCATCATATAAATCGTGCCAGCGTACAAAAGCATAAATTAGTCTTTGGTTCTACAATATTTACAGTTGAAGCACATTAATGCGTCACGTAAGTTTAATGATGGCTATTGTGTGTGTTGGTAGAATAACAAGTGACGGAGTCTCACTCGTTATTTTGTGGTTGCGAAGCTTGACTGTTCTACTGTTAATGGGACTTCTAACTGACATCCCCGGTCTCAAGAATCAAATTGCAAACTTAGCAAGATTGTTAACTCGTTTTCAAAGATACTTTTACTTTCAAATCCTACTTTAATAATATCTGTGGTAAAATAGGCTTGGGTAGTCTAGTTGTAGTAGCATTGGACTTCAACCTTCCCTTAAGGTATGGGCAATTCAATCAATTACTTTTTTGCTATATGTCAGTGATCCATTGAGTCGGAATTTACCTTAACTGTAGATCTTTCTACCTAGAAAACACACCAGGTTATCAGCAATCAGAATTCCATTCAAAAACTCTCTCCAATAAAAGGAATACAAAATGTAATAATTACCAGTTTATATATTATCAACCTGTCACCCTTACCAGTTAATCGTGTCGGTTGTTATTGTAGTCGCAACATCACCCGCAGCCGCATCGCTACAAAGGACCCGCATGTAACATTTCTCAACTTATTTCTCATGAATTGTGTGCGCATTTTCTCTCATGTAAAGACAAAATTAGCTACAAATGTTTGCTTTTAATCATGAAACAATCTGCTGATGGAAATAGCGTGGGGGTTGAGACCAACTGAACGTTAAAAGGGAAAAATATTCTGCGTTTTCCTCGTTTGTAAATTTAGCGTTATCAATCCAGCAATAATTCATCGAAAATATTCGTTTTTCTGATAATTTCTTGCTTAAAACGAGGTAATAAAAAAGGTGAATATCCAATTTATTTGATCCGTAGTAAGTAGTATAGAGATAATAGTAGGGATTTAGTATAACTGGACTTTAAGTGGGTTCTACTCTTAAAAAGCGCTTGAACTTTTGTATGTCTTCTGAAGTGTTGGAAATTAGGTACATTTATCCTATTCCATACTTTATAGAAATAACCATTGAAATCCTGACCATATTAACAATATTATGTGATACATAAGTATTTTTCATTTCTGTTTCAGGTAAAGAAAACAGTGAACGTCTGACGATAGCTAAACGTTTTGGTAAGAATATAAATAGAACCATAAAATACTAATGTTTTTGGGATTGGTGATGGGAGCTAGACAATTATAGTTTTTGAAAGGAAAAAAGAAAGATGCATGCTCAATATATGGTTATTCTAATTAAGACCATGATTATATTCAATCGTTCATAAATTTAAACTCTATAACATTTATATTTACGAATATATGCTGATGACTAAAAGTGTGTACTCAGAATGTTAAAAATGTATGCTTGTTTCAGTAGGAGTTGTCATATGTTTTTACCATTTTACGTTTAAATTACCTGTTTATTGTGGAATATTGTTATACTAAAAAAAAATACAGCGGAGTATTGCGCAAAAAGTGTTATCAACTTTTAACAAGTAATCGGTTCAACCGAATACTTAATATTTTTCATGGATTACCAAGATACAAGATCATTGAATAGCTTGTTTTTATTTTACGACAAAATACGACAAAAAATTGGTGAACTTTAAATCATGTTTTCAAGTAATATTCTATTATAAATGTAATTCAGTAGTGCATTAATTTTTACCAGTCTGTATTTAAAATGGTAAATCTTGCAGTTTGTTTCTTTCGATTACCAATGTTCGTAAATTATTACATAGATTCTCTTTATCTTGATTCTTCCTTTTTGTTTAACGTAGTATACTGTAAAAGATTAATGAGACTTTTTCTAAATGTAATACAAATTATTGTTACCCACAAAACCTTTGTCAGTCGAAGTTTTGATTACTTAACTGTGTTATTCAAATTACTCTTAAATGTTTCCTCAATGTAATACAGAGTGTCCCGGAACTCTCTACCAATATTTTAGGGCATTGCTCCTGGGTAAGAAACATAATTAAATATCATATTTAAACTGTCCGGAAGTCCTTAGTTACTCACACAGCCGCCATTTTGTTTTTATCAGTTATTAATTTTTTTCTAAAGAACGGTTGAACATACCAAATGGAAACTTTGCACAAACATTTATGACAACTAGACAAAGCTACCAAAAAATTATCACGATTATTCAAGTTCATAAAACAAAATGGCGGTCATTTAAAATTTTTGTAAAATCAATGGTTTTTGAGTTATTTAAGAAATAAAATTTTAAATGGCCGCCATTTTGTTTTATGAACTTGAATAATCGTGATAATTTTTTGGTAGCTTTGTCTAGTTGTCATAAATGTTTGTGCAAAGTTTCCATTTGGTATGTTCAACCGTTCTTTAGAAAAAAATTAATAACTGAAAAAAACAAAATGGAGGCTGTGTGAGTAACTAAGGACTTCCGGACAATTTAAATATGATATTTAGGTACGTTTCTTATCCAGGATCAATGTCCTAAAATATTGGTATAGAGTTCCGGGACACTCTGTATAATGCCTTACGTTACAAAGTCGCGCAGATCTTACATGTTTTCTACGGTTAGTAATAATACTTTTGTGAGTAATTATGGAAAATACAACCCACTAGTGCAGTAAAAATGTAAACCGGAACTACGTCGATAGAGAGGTATACGAGTAACTAAGTTTATAAGTGTTCCAATGTAAAACACTACGTTTATTCATAATTCTCAAACTTCACTCAAAATAATAATCTTTTATGATTAGGCTTAGTCTGTATCTCTAAAAAAAATCGCGTTTGCTGTTTAGAGATCAAGTTTCTTAATCTTTCCAAAACATTACGCATATAATTGAATATTACATTAACGTTTGCTTACTTCGTCTAAACTACTGTGAGTAGGTAGGAGATATACGTAGGGGGTCCCAGTATCAACATCCTAGTATTTATTATTTAACTTTTTTTCTTTTTTCCTTTTTGAAATAAACATTTTGAATATTTATGTATATTTAATATTTTTTATATACACCACATGCTACTTACACCTATAAATATAGTGAAAACTTTACTTCATAACCAGCTGCTTAAGTTAAAATGTTAGAATTGTACTTAAACATAGCCTATGAAAAAAAATAACTAAAAAAACTTCTGCTAGATTTTCTTGCGCTGGAGAGTTAAATTTTTTGATTTTAATTATTATTCTTAATTGTATGTTCCATGTAAATTGTGTACAACCCCACGGCTAGATAAAATGTATGTAAATGTTCATTTCATAAAATATGAGACACTTATGTAGTACCCATTTCTTACGCTTGTTAATCGTTTTCTAAATTCAAGTTTACAGATTTGTTTAACAGTGCTTAAATTAATAATTTTAGTGCATGTTTGCTTAGTTTTGAGAACGTTAACCCATTTTGCATGCTACTTTAGTAATTGTAAATCTTTTGCGGGATTACAAAACAGTCGTTCCCTTTTGAGACCTTTATAAGATTACTTTTTGCCTAAATTCTTTGAATACTATTCGCAGGCTTCAATTGGGGTTCAGTAACACCCGGAGTAATCTTGTGGTGTATTTTAGAAAATTCATTTCTTAAAACAATCAAGCATTTGAAAAATAATATACTATACTTTACATCATTTATATTCAATCTTTTCATCTTAGCTCCATATACATTACATTTACAATTTATCTGAAGCTATACGTTGTATTTCGATAGTGTACTTTTTAAAAGTTTAATAAAAACATTTATTTTAAATACGGAATAAAAAAATCCAACGTGATAAAGAGAGCTTTTATGTTTTATAATGGAAAACTACTTAAACAAATTAAAAAAAACTTCAAATTTATGGGAAACTGCATGAGTAAATAAAAATTAATATTTTAGAATATTGAGGCATGCACTCTCTTTTTTTGGTATAAAAGGATTTTACATTGCTTGCTTTCTTTATAATTATAAAAAAAGTAATTGCATGTCGCTTATAATTTATAATTTATTTTAAAAATATGTAGAAAGGTTTAGTTTATTGTTTAATCTACTTATACATTTTGCAAATAACCATGTTATGCAGACAGAAGTATTCAGTACAGCAATATTACTCTAAACCTTTGTGCAAGTGTTAAGGTTAAATTAACTAATTCGAATAAATTTATAGCAATTACTGCTTAACATTTTCTTTGACAACTTGTTTTAATGTTAAATTTCAATGCAATAGTGTTTGCATGTTTTCTTTGAACCTGATTACAATTAAAAAGTTAACCATTTTTCTCTTTGAACAATGTATTTTAAATTAGGTATACAAATTCAATGTGTATTAAAACTAGTAATGACAATGATTGATGTATTAGCGTTTGCTGGTTTGTTTGTTTTTTACGTGATAAATAGTTTATTGCAAGTTTAAAATATTTCACAAATTCATCTCCTTGCAGATTTAAAAGTTCCTATTTCTGTTGAAATCGTTTAAACAATAGTTTACAGGATAAATTGTACAGTTTACTTTTTGATCTGAGACATTCACTTTTAACAAGGTTTGTTTAGTGACTCAATTGTGCTAAAATTATTAATAAACATTATGGCAAATAGTTTATATTAAAAATTTACGAATGCAACGGAAAAAATATTCTCCTCGATAAGGGAAAAATTCATTAAATATATTCTAAACCTTTTTAAAGAGAACTAACTATTTATTTTGGTTTTTGTTTGGGTACTTATACCCGATTTCTCAAGTTGTGGACCAATTATTTTGTCCCAATACCAGCAGATGCAAATACATTTAAATGTCCGGCCTTTGCTATTTTTATCTTGTGAAACAGCTAAAATATACTAAACCTTTATTAAGAATGAGTTAGATAATTGTTTTATATAATGTTTTATTTTGTGTGTGGAATAAACACTTGGTTTTTATCTGCTGTTTTTATTTTGCATCCTTCCCTGACATTTCCCTGCTTGAATAGAATAAAGTTATGATTGGTGTTTTATTTTCCTTCACTCGATTCTTAGTTTAGCACCCAAGTAACCCTGCTTATTGAAATAGTCTTTATCTAGATATATTTTTTGTTTTACGCTTTTGCCGGTTGGGGTGGACTTCCGTACCTGTTGGCACAAACAACCGAATGAAAAAATCTATCGATATATCGATTATTCGATATATCGTTTGGTTGGTTAGCTAAGGTTACCTAACTAACCAAACGATATATCGAATGAAAGAATTGAATAATCGATATTTTCATTCGGATGTTTGTGCCTACAGATACGGAAGTCTACCCGAAAAGTGTCTCTTATCAACTGCAATGCCTTGTAAAATAATTCGTTTCGAAATCAACCTTTGTACAATTTTACAAATCTAAAATGTATAATTAAGATTTAATACGCCATACACGAAAAAACTTAAGTTATTTATCAAACTTAGTGCTTCATGAGATTATTCACCGTAGAATTCAAAAATCACACTGTTCACACTGTTTCAAAAATTTTTAAGTTCGCTGAGTAAGGTGCCAACAAATTTCAAGCTGCATAATTTACGGAATAGTGAAGTTGCATATAATAATATGCAACTTCACTATTCCGTAAATAGGGACGTGTACTAACACGTGTATATTTAAATCCTAACTTTGTGTTCGACATACTAAAACACTTTAAAACCAAATAAGTCTTAAGCTAAAAATTAAATGAATTATCATCATTGATTTTATTACATAAGCATTTTGAAATTAATGAAGAAATACGTTAGTTTTAACATTTCATATGGCTTGTGCACATTTTCACTGAATAGCACTTACGTTGTTACTATTTTCAAAACCACGTTTAAAGAATAATTTTCCCAGTAAAAAATAACACGTTTTGCACATACTAACTGAATGATAGCACTTTGTTATTTATTATTTCTACAAAGACTCTCTGATTATAAATTCGTCTGGATTCGTCAATAATCGTTGACGATTTCGACCCACAACGTATTATTCACTAACATTGGCTGTGTTGCTATTTAACCACCAACTTTTCTGGTTTGCATTTCACACGATTTCTATTCAGATTACAATATAAATGTTTCCCTTAGTTTCCTTTTTAGTAATCAATGTAGTATTGACAGTGGACAAGTAGTCTTTTTTCCACACTAAGTTAATGTATATCGATGAATACAATTTCGAGGTTGGCTTTAGACAGTTATATTATTGAAAATTAATTCAAATCCAACTGGTGTTTTTTTAACCAAGTTAACAGTCAATGTTAAAATAATGA